TTTCCTGCCGTCCCACCAAGTGTGGGGGAACCCCCCACTTCTCTAGACAGAGATGAGTACCAGTAAGCCAAGCTGATGTTTTAATCTTAAAAAGCCAGGAAGAAGCAGTGGTGTGCTCGGTTTGTGACTCCTGGAGGTTTTTCAGGCTTTTATAAAGACTGTAAAGAAACAAACAGGGCACGAACTATGTCTCTTAAGCTCACATGTGCCTGAGGAAGAGCGGGATTATCAGTGTGGCTCTCAGTGCTTCAGGCTTTTAGAGCTGGACCAGGGGCAGGTGCTATGGGGAGGAGGAGCGGTGCAGGGCAGCACACCGAGCGGGTGCGCTCCTCAGAGACGTCCTGAAGGACTGGTGCCTCTTCAGGGGGGAACCAAAACGGGCAGGCAGAGGCCTCCCAAAGCTCCAGCTTTGGAGCTTGAGAAAGCTGCTTGATCTTCACGTGTATCCCTTCATAGAAAGCCAGCGGGGCCCAAGCAGAGCTCCTCTGTGAACTCGCGCTGTGAGTGTGAAGGGACCCGGCGGGCGCCCTCGTGGGCTTGGGGTGTGTGAAGCATCATGTGGCAGCTCAGCAAGTGTCCCCCAGGCCCACGGGGGGGCTCTTGGGACCGGTGGGTACTGCAGCCCGAGGGGCTCTTCAGCTCCAACCGTGCAAACTCCCACTCCGGGAACACACGTGCAATTTTCCTGCAGCGTATGGTCGCGTGTTTGTACAACCCGGTGGGTGGGTGTCGGCTGAAGATGGAGGACAGGAAGGCAGTGGTGTGTGTCGGTGCTTGCTGGCAGCCTGCTCTCAGGGCTTGTGCCTGCCTAACTCGAGGCTAAGGAAAGCTGAGGCGCAGTTAAGCTTCTGCGTTACATGTAGTCATCGAAAACTTCCTGGGGCAGGAAATGTGAGCAAACCTCCAGAAGGAAAACCAGCCCGGCTCCACTGAGAGCAGCGCCGCCGGGCAATGGGAGCTTGGGGCTCCCCGGGTGCCCCTCGCCGCTTGGGGACATGCGTCAGCAGCAAGAGCCTGGGCCGTGCTCGCTTGCTGCCCCGGGCAGCCCGGGCTCCCGCAGCCAAACACCCTCTTTCCCTCCGCACGTCCCGGCCCGGCTTGTCCCGCGGTGACCCGATCCCGGCGGAGCTTGGCAGGGAGCCGGGGCACGGTCCCGCTCGGGTGAATAAACTCCCCTTGCCTCTCCCCACAGCCTGCCGCCTCCCACCCCTCGCTCACCTTCCCTGTGCAACGCATCCCCGGGGAGGTTTTTCCTCCCCCGTATGTTTTTTAGTTCTTTTGTTTATATAGGAAAAGCCTGGGCTGGAGGGCAGTCCTGCAGCCCCCCAGCTGGTGGCAAGCCCCACAGCCACCAGCCTGGGAAGGCCGGGATGAGTTGCATTTTTTTGTCAGAGCTGGTTCACCCCCTCCCCCTCGCCTGCAGCACAGATCTGCTTTTATCAGATGGGACTGGTGCCCGCACCGGGGCCTGTCGTGGTGATGGTGCAAACGCTGCAGTCTCTGTGCCGGGGAGGGGGGCGGCAGGTCACAGGCTGCTGGGTTGTTTCTCGATTTGTTTTTGGCCGACGAACAGCTGTGTCCCGAGGTTTGTGCTTACTCAGCTCCCCTGGCGCCGTGCCCGCCACAAAGCCCGCAGGTATTTTGAGCGCTGCCCGTTCCCCCTGTGCCGGCTGTGGCTCTCCAGCACAGCCCGGGGCTGTCCGGTGCAAAGCGAAGCCCCTCGACCTTGGAGGGCTCCTGAGCTGAGCCCCACAGCGCAGCTGGGTCAGCCCAGCGCTGTAGGGGGGTGGTTGTGCCCCCAAAATGAGCGTGTGCGATGGAAAGGCTCAGCTTTGCTCTGCCCGGTGCTCTCGGGTCCCACGTCAGTGAGCGGTACCTCTGCTTCATGGGGTACCTGCGGTACAGTGTGGGAACAGCCACGAATTAAAAGGCTTTATCCTAGCGACCGTCACTGATTTCTTTCTTGCAGACCCCCACTGCCGCAGGGAGATTGAGCTGCTGATTCTCGACCCTGCTGACCTGCCCTCCAAGGCTTTCGGCCCCTGTCCCTCTTGTCATGGTTCCCCCATGCAAAGACCCCGAGCGGCCTCGGAGGGCAGGGACAGTTACAGCAACAGGATTATTTCAGCAGCAAAAGCCTCCGTGTTTCCAGCAGCTGCCCACACTCAGCCAGCTGAAACCTGATGGCAGATGCCAGGGTCCCCCTGGCTCTCCCATGGGCATGGCCACCTCATCCTCCCAGTTTTTGTGTCACCAGACTTCCCAGTGCCAGGTCTCAACGAAGCCAAAGGGGTCATCCAGGATGGTGGATCTGTGCATTTTGGGTCTCAGAGGACCCCGACTTCTGCAGGGGGCTCAGCGGGGTGGGAGGAGGAAGGGGGCCAGTGCCAGCAGCTCACATGAAACCGTCTGGTGGGGTCAGGGGTTTGGGCGCAGCGGCGTGGCCCCGGAGCAGCTGTCAGGACATAAATACCAGCCGGATGATTCAGCAGTGTCTCTGCCTGTTCCCGGAGCGGGGAGCAGCCATGCCGGCGGCTGTTTACCAGCTCACGAGGTGCTGGGCAGCTGGTGCTGGGTACTGAACCCCCCCCCCCACCAGCAGCATCTTTTCCCAGTCGGCCAGTTGGGAGGAGATGGGCTGGGGCAGGGGCTGAGATGCGCTGCGGTGGGGCCGGGCTCAGCAGGTCGGGGTTTGCAGCACACAGCGGGTCTCCAGGCCCAGGGACAGCACACGCCGGCCCTGGCAAACAGAGAAACCCAATAGGAGCAGGAGCTCTGTGCGGGTGTCTGGGGCCGGAGGCGTTCCCCAGTTTAGTAACATCCTCGGCCCCAAAGTCTCCGTTTCCACCTCTCAAGGTACGCACTGGTCTTGAGCCCACACACCTTGCTGTGAGGTGAGCGCCGTGGCAATGGCAACATGTGCCTTGGCAAAGGGGCACCACAGGTGCTTCAGGTCCTGGAGGCATTGGGATGCTGCGGTTACTGGTGACTGCAGGAGGCTGGAGAGGAGCCTCCCTGCTGGCACGTGCGGCTGGGGACAGGATCTAGGTCAGGGGAAGGACCTGGCTGACATCGAAGCCTGGAGAATCATCTTTAGCCAAGTTTTCCCCAAACCTGCTCTAAGCCCAGACCCCCTTCACCCACCCAGCTTCAGCCTATACTGGCAGAGGTGAAGGGATGGGAAACCCAGTGGCACCCCCTGGTGTGATGGAAACGGGCAGGGGAGCAGGAAAGAGTGTGGGGCTCAGCCCCTACAAGCCAGCAGAGACTCCATGCAGCAGCAGCAGCAGCAGGGCTGGGCTCCCGCTACACTCCGCTCTGCTCCGCTTTGGGTGGGTCAGCTGCACAGATCACCCTGAGGACTGCTCCCCGGGGCAGGTGTCTGCACTGCAGTTCATCCTCCAGCTCCTCCCTGCCACCCTGAGCCACCACGAGAACGGACTGGGAGGAGGGAAGATGCTCCCAGCACTGTGCCGGGTCACAAATTCCTCACCTTCATCGTCCCCAGGCCGTGCCACGGGCTGGCGGGACCCATTTGGCATCGGAGGCCAAGCGATGAGGAGGCTGGGTGAAAGCGAAGTGCTGGTGGTTCGAAAGAAAACATACACTTCAACGCACGGAGTAGAAAGCTTAGTGGTGGGGAGGTTTCATGTCAGCTTTTCTGCCTGCTAGCAAGAGAGAGAGCAGGGGGAAGTAGAAAAGGGGGAAAATGTAGGGGGGGTGCTGCGCTGGGGGTGTCAGGCCGTGCTGGGGCCGTCTGGGGCTTTCCCCTTCACCCTGGTTGCGTTTGCTCCAGGTGCCCTGAGCCATAGCTATGTTGCTATTTAGTTAAATATTAAGAGGTCAAATAATTGAGAACCAGAAACCTAATTGCATGCTGCCCTCCATGGCACGGTGGTTTTCAGCAAAAGCAAACACGGCCCCTCGCGTTACAGGAAGGTTTTGCTGCTCGAGGTGACGGCCGTAATCCAGCCAGCCAGGGAGCCACCGGTGCTCGGGACACGGTGCAGGCGGGAGATGCCCTGTGGCTGCATGATGAATGTCACCAGCCCCCGGCCCCATGGTGCACACGCGCTGGGCTGGGGGGGTCTGGGAGCCTCTGGGTGCTCCTCCGTGTCCCCGAGCACTGGGAGCCCCCGCGTTCGGCCGGAGCTGGGGCTGCCTGCAGCTTGCACACAGGGTGGGGGGGTGGACAGTCCTGCGGCCTTACAAGGCGCTCACGTCCTGTCTGGAAGGAGCAGCATGTGTGCACAGGTGCACACAAGCACATGTGTGCATGCATATGTATGTGTGTGTCGGCAGCCGCGAATGCATCCCTGTGCTTTTGTGTGCACAAACGTGCTTGTAAGTACCTGCGTGTGCAGGCACCCGTGTGCATACGCCGGCGCGTGCTGGCAGCAGTGTGTGTGCCTGCGCACCGCGGGAGAGGAAGCGGGGTGGGAACTAAAACTGCAGGAACCTCCAAGCTGTTTCCTTCTTTTTTCCCCTGAAGGAGTGGGTGGGGGTCCCACTGGTGGAGGCACGCGGTCCTGGGACGGGGCAGTGGAAGGCAGGGCTGGGGGAGCAACCCCTGCCCCATGGTGGGCTCAGCTCCTGGTCCATATCATGTTTGTTCTCCCTGCTCCTAGTGGGGAAACTGAGGCAGGGGCCAGCCAGGGTCACCCACCCGGGGTCACAGCTGCTGGGCACAGCCTGGGCATCCCTAAACCCCTCAGTTGCCCACTGGTCACTTTTCTCCCCTTACCCGGCTGGGGTGAGCCCTCCTCCCCGACTAGCTATGTGGCTAGCTGGTCACCGTGGCTCATGGTTGTCTCTGCACGGGCCCCCCCATCCCTGGGGGAGTGAAGGGGCTGTTCATGTTAGCAGCCCTGCAGAGGGGCCACGGCCTCCCAGCTCAGCCCAGTCCTCACATGAAGTTGTGGGGCCACCATACATCTCAGACACCCTCTCACCTCCCCCTACCCTCCATTGCCTGTACAAAAAAATAGCTGGAGCAGCGCTGCGTTGGGAACAGCTTTATCCAGACAATCCTGCATCCACGGGGCAGGCAGGGCATAGCCTCTGTGCTCCCGTCCCACCCCACCCCACCACTGCCTGGGTTCCGGGGCTCGTCCCCATCACGAGGCCGCTCGCCAGGCGTCTCGCAGCCTGGCCTTCACCCGAAACTTCTGCACCTGCAGCACAACTCCAAACTTGCCCTCCAGCGAGGGCAGGGGCTGGTCCTGGGGGCACTCGAGCGTGAACCTCTGCAGCACCCAGGCCAGGAAGAGGAAGAGCTCCATCTTGGCCAGGACTTCACCCAGGCAGACGCGGATCCCAGCCCCAAAGGGTAGGTAGCTGGGCGAGGGTGAGTGGATGTGCTGGCCCCGCTCATCTAGGAAGCGGCCTGCAAGGGAAGGGGCACCACTGGCGTTAGCAGGGATCGCTCCCTTCTGCCTGAGACCTGCCCGAGTTCATCACAGGTGTGTCCCTCCCATCAGCTGCAAGGGCAGAGATGGCACGAATGCCTCAGCCCGGGGTGGGGGAGAAGGATCCAACCTCCCACCACCAAGCCTCTTCCGGGCTCAGCCTCTCCCGCTGCGCCCACCCTGCCGTCCCCCGTCCCCCAAGGAGGACAGGGAGCACCCAACCCACCAGGGTTGAACTCCTCGGGCTTGTCCCACTCCTTCTCGTCATGGTGCACGGACCAGAGGTTGATGACGACCCTGGCGCCCTTGGGGATGGAGTATTCCCCGATGCTGCAAGACGAACGCAGAGTGAGACGGTCGCCCCCTCCCGCAGTCTCTGCCTGCGTCCCGCCTGCACCCCGGGGGTCTCACCTGGTGTCGGCAAGGGACACGTGCGGGATGAGCAGGGGGGACACGGGCCGGATGCGCAGCACTTCGCTGATGGTGGCCTCCAGGTAGGGCAGCAGCGGGCGGTCGCTGAGGTGAGGGTGACGTGCCAGGCCGATTTTCTGGTCCATCTCCTCCTGGATCTTCCTCTGCACCTGGGAGGGGAGCAAGGGCTGGAGTGGAAGCCCAGGGCGGGGGGTACCCCAGGTGTGGGAGCTCCTCATGGCAGTGGGGTACACCCAGCATCACCAGCATGTCCTGGCAGGTTGTGCAGGGCAGAAGTTAAATGCCCACAGCCTGATCCTGCTTATTCATAAAGCCTGACATCTCTCTTGGCACCTGCCTTCCCCAAAGTCCCCCACAATGTTCCTGGCGCTGGAGGGAGCCCAGACCCCTCCATCACAGGGCACAGACCCTACCTCGGGGTAGTGGAGCAGGTAGAGCACAGCCCATTTGAGCACAGTCGTGGTGGTCTCCACGCCGGCCCCGAAGATGTCCCCCACTGTCATGAGGAGGTGGTCATCAGTCAGCTCCAGCCCCGGCGGGCTGCTGTTCTCGGCGCTGAGCCTCACTTGCAGGAGGGCATCCATGAGGTCCCTCACGGCGTCCCCGCAGAAGGCTTCCTGCCAGGGGAGATGTGTGAGCCGGGCTTCCCCTAGCACAGTCCCCCCGACCCCAACTCCAGCACCTCCCAGCTCCTGAGCATCTCCCTGTCCTGGCCCCATTGGCACCTTGTGTTCAGTGAACTTCTGCTGGAGCAGCTGGTCCCGGACCTTGAGGCATCTTTTCAGCAGAGCCAGGTCCTTGTTGGGGAAGATCTGGGGGAAAAAAGTCCAATTACAGCAAGGGGCTCCAGTTCAGCCCAGCTTCAGCAGGCCCCCAGGCAACTGGTCTGTGCCCACCAGGGTACTGGCTCTTGTGGGACACCAGGGCAGGGACCCTCCTAACCCTGAGGGGCTCAGGTAGCTCCCTCCTGCAGGACACATCCCAGTTCCTTCCTCTTGTCTGAGGTGAGAGTAACAGGCAGTCCCCGTGTCCCTGCTCACCCGAAGCCAGGGGAAGATGTCCACCAAGCTCTCCTTGGCCACCGTGTCCACGATACCCTGGCTGTACTCCAGCATGGCCTCGAACTCAGGGTCCCCACGCCGGTACGAGGAGTTGAAGCAGAGGGAGCAGACCACGTTGGTGACAGCCCGTGTGAGCTCGGGGGCCACATCCAGGGCCGTATCCTGCGCAGAGCTGAGCGTCTCGCACAGGGATGCAGCCTCCCGGCAGACTGGGTTGGAGAGGAGAGGCAGGCGAGGGGGTGATGATGAAGCCAAGGGGTTAGAGGGGGCAGATGGGGGCTGGAAGGAAGGGTCCCCCACTCATTCAGGGTGTGCAGCCTGCAGAGAGCACCTCCCAGTCAGGGCTGAGCCCTGAGGGGCTGGGGTGGGCAGAAAGGGTGGTGGTGAGTGCTGAGGAGGCACAGAGAGGATGGAGACATGCAGGGAAGTCTCTGTGTGCGGCTTGATGCTCCTCCTGGGTGGAGCAGGGAGCCCCGGGGGCTGGGAGCTGGATCTATCCTCAGTTTCCCCAGCTGTGAGTGAGAGGAGCCAAAGCTCAGGGTGGAAAATGCATGGGGAGAGGTGTCAGCAAAGCACTGGGGATGGGAGGAGAGGGACCAAGCCCCTTCTAGGCAAACTGAGGGGTTGCCGGAGGGGTTGGGCTGAGCCCCTGATTCTCCCCTTGGTTCCCAGGGGATCAGAGCACAGAGAAAGGAAAAGTCCAGTCTGGATCCAGTGTAGGAAGGAGACAGAGATGGGAGGGAGACTGGGGGCTGGCGGGGGACACTCACTGATCCTCTCGAGGGTGAGCGAGCCCTCCCCAAACATGGAGAGGGCGGCGTGCACCAACTTGCGCTGGAACTTCCAGAGGGGCCCGTAGCTGGCGAAGGCGATGTCCTTGCCCCCCCGGGACAGCAGGTCCGTGGTCACCTGTGGGAGAGGCAGCCCCAGCGTCACCCCACTGCGGCTGCAGGGCAGCCCCAAAGGGGCCACATGACAGAGAGGGGTGATGCTGGGGGGGATGGATAATTATCTCATCCCAGGGATGATCTGGAGGGCTGGTGGTTAGCGCTGGCAGGCAAAACCTGGGCCATGAACTCTGCTTTCCCCCCCGCTGAGGACTGATGGAGAGGTTTGGGGACAGATGCCAGGGTTAGGGGCTGGGGTGTCCAGGAAACTAGGTGGTGCAGGGAGTCTGGTGGTACCAGAACCCACATCCCCCATGTTCCGAGATGCAGCCAGCCCCGGGGTAGAATGGGCACCCTCTGGATGGAGGATTCACAGGAATCACTCTGGGGAACGGGGCAGAGAGGGGCTGCCCCTGCCATTGCCTTGCTGCAGGCAGGAGAGGGAGAGGAGACGGACCCTGCCGGGTGCCTTTCTTGGGAGCATCCCTCACCTCACCCATTGCCGCAGTGGGAGGGGGTCCCCCAAAACCTGCTGCTAACTCACGGTGCGGGGTCGTCCAGCGAAAGCCTTCCCCTTCTTGAGCAGCACCTCCCTGGCGTGCCGGTAGCTGTTGACCACCACCACGTAGTGGGAGCCCATCCAGAGGGCATAGAGGCTGCCGTAGCGGCCCTGCAGATGCCAGAGCCGCAGGTGGAGCTGGGGGTACCCGGCCAGCTGCAGCAGGCTCCCCACCAGCGGCAGGGCTGGCAGGCTCCGTGGGCGCCCTGAACCCGTCCCCAGGGTGGATCGCCGTCGCGCCAGCCCCCAGGCACAGAGCAGGAGCAGGGCCAGCAGCAGGGCATCCAGCAGCAGCATGGTGGGGCCGGCTGTGGGGCTGCACCAGCTCAGGGGCCCTTTATACTGGCTGCAGGGTCATCGCCTTGACCCCAAGGCGGGCTTGCCTCCTTATCAGGGTGGGGGGGGGCGTGGAGGAGTGGATGAAGAAGGGGGGAACCGGGTGCTGGGCCCACGGCCAGCTCTGCAGCTGGGGACCTGGCAGGGAGCAGGGGCAGCGGGGCCACGGCTGCTCTGGGGAGCTGCATCTAGCGGGCTGCGGGCCAGGGGGTCCCCGGGATCCATCCTTGGGGCTCCGTCCCCAGGGCCCTGTGGCGGGTGAGGGGTGGGCTGTGTGTTTGGGGGGGGTGTAGCTGAGCCCTCGGGGACTCCCCAGGGTGCCACGAGCGCAGCCGGGGACTGGTGGGGTGTCAGGGTCCGTCCCCAGCCTGGGAGCCCCTCGACGCGCCCGGGAGGGGACGGGCAGAACAGGACTGGGGCACTGGGCAAGCACTGCGAGTGCGGAGAAGCCCTGGTCAGTCCTAAGCAGCCCTGGTCGGCGCAGGGCGGCCTCAGGGGACCCGTGCCCGGGCTGATGTCCGGGTCTGAGGTGTCCTGGGGGGCACAAGCGCCCCGAGGGGCCCGGCCCCGGGCAGAGGCGGCTCCCCTGCCGCCGCGCCCCAGCCCGCCGCGGGCCCTGCGCCTTCCCCACTCTCCTGGCCCCCGGCGCTCGCCGTAGCGGCGCCCGGCGGGGCGTGGAGCGGGTAAGATGGCGGCGGGGGCGGCGGCGGACGCCCAGGCGCGGTTCGGGCACTCGGTGAAGGGGCTGCTGACCGAGAAGGTGACGAGCTGCGGCACCGATGTGATCGCCCTCACCAAGCAGGTGCTGAAGGGCTCCCGCAGCGCCGAGGTGAGCGGCGGGCGCCGCCGGGCCGCCGTCTACGGGGCCTGGCGTGCAGCGCGGCCCCGGGGAGGAGCCGGAGCGGGGGCTGGCGGGCGACCCGGTGCGGCCCGTCCCCCGCAGGGTGTGCGTGGCCGGGGAGCGGCGGCCCGACCGGGGAGCGGCGGCGGCTGAGCGCCGGTACCGGGAGCGGGCGGGTGGGCGCGGGTCATGCTGGGAGCCGTAGTCGGTGTCGGGCGCGGGGCATGCCGGGAGCTGTAGTCCGCGGGGCCGTTGCTCCGCACCAGCCTCCCGCCGGGCCCCGCCGCCCGCCGTGCGCGCAGCGCTGCGGAGCCGCCATCGCGGGCGTCTCGGGGGGAAACGCGGAGCTGCCGCCTCTCAGCCTGGGCGTTTGTCTTTTAGCTCCTGGGTCAAGCTGCTAGAAACATGGTGATGCAAGAAGATGCCATCCTGCACTCGGAAGATGTAAGCTGTGCTTCTCTGAGAGTGACACTGTTTCTAGCGGACAGGAGGAGGGGAGGGTTGTAAGAGCAGATGTGCAGATGCGTTACCGGCAGCGCTGGTGGCCGGAATAATTCAGTCCTTCTTCAAACCCACATGTGCTTCTGGCCTGCCAGCATCCCAGCCCGTAAGCTGTGCCATCTCTACCAGCAAGTTCAAGGGACCACAGGTTAAAACAAGAGACTTAGTGGCTGTGCCTGTCATGGGGAAAGAAGAGGGAATTGGGAAAGAGTGCGCCAGTGCTGACAGATACCGGTGGGGTGTTCTGGAGGTGGTGCAGGGGTGCAGTGATGGTCATGCTGGAGGACATTGGGACAGCTTGCCCTGTCCCATCAGATATTTATTCTTTGTCTTGTTCTCCACAGAGTTTAAGGAAAATGGCCATAATAACCACTCATCTACAGTACCAGTAAGTAGGGGACACCATCTTCTGTCTGGGGAGCTGAATGGATCCCTTGATCCCTTTCTGTTCTACTTAAAAACGTTTCATGAAGCCCACTCAGACCAATCCCTCTTGCCCAGCTCCTCAAAGCTGAGCAGGCCCTGGAACTGGGATCTTCCAGCCCTCTCCAGCTCTGCTGGCACAGCTCAGGCTGTTTTGGGATGGGAGCTGAGGTTTTTGCCAACTGTGTGCCATGCCCAGTGTCTCTTGTGAGAGCGTGTGATGCATCTAGGGCTAAGGGGGGGAAGCCAGTGCCACTGCTGTCCTCTCAGGCCTTAGTTGAGAAACACACCAGAGTTTTGGCCTCCTGAGCCCTTGATCAAGTCACTTTTATTCAACATAACATGAACCTTGTTGCTGAGATTTTGTTTTTCTAATGCTCTCTTTGTCTCCTTTTCTTATTTAGGCAAGAAGCAATTCAGAAGAAGTGAGTACTCAGCTGAAGGAATGCCGGGAGGACATGCAGGACACATGTGGGGGTTGATGGGAAGGGAAGAGTGATGGAGTAGGGTGGGGGAAAACAGAGTGAAAAGTTTTTTGCAGCTGCCTTTGAAGCAGATGTGGGCCCAGCAGGGTGGTGTTTCAGTTTTGTGAAGAGGTGGGAATTTGAGTGAAGAGATGATTTATACCAAAACTTCTGTTTGTTTCATTAATGTGATAGAGCCTGTGAGGTTGTTTGTGATTGGAGATGAGGGTGGGGTAGAGCAGAGCTGTCTGCTTATGGTTGCACAAAATGAGGTTTGCTTTGAGGGGTCACACAGGTGGGTTGGGGAACCCCAGAATTTCTCTTTGCTGTAGTGTCAGTGCTAGAGCTGTTCTGGTCCCTTGGGCGCAGGTAGCACAGCGTGGGCTGGGGAGCAGATCTCTCTGTGAACCTCCTCTTGCTTGGTCCCCAGTGTCGAGCAGTCATCAAACCTACAGGACCAGCTGAGTCACTTGCTGAAATGAAGCACAGCCGAAGGCATGAGGACATCTCGACTGGCACCGGGAGCAGTGAAGCGTCCTTTCCCCTCCAGACCTATGCCTGGATGGTGCTGGATGTCAGCTGGGATATGTGCAGAGTCTGTGTTTCTGGGTACATGGGCCTCTCTCACGTGCCTCCATCCATGTCTCTGGTCCAGAACGCTTACCAGCGCCTAGCTGAAACAAACTTACATGAAACTTTACTCCCCGCAGCAATTCCTGTAGCTGCTTACTTCCCCTGTGGTGTGGGGTGGTCAGCCCACACCAGCACCCCTGGCAAGAAATGCATAAAATCAAGCCATGGGATTTAAATACAGGTACCTGCAGTTTGACACAGTATTGCCTGTATTTAGACACACAAATGGCACTGAGTGCAATTTATTTAGGGAGTGTTAGTGGGACCTCTAAGTGCCTGGGTGGGTGAGAGAGGTGTTTTAGTGTAGGCTGAGGTGCCAGTCCCAGGCCAGAATTTCTGAAAGTGGGAACCTGGGCACACACCTCTGTCACTGGTCCAGCTGCACATGGTTTGGCCAGCGTCCTGCTTGAAGGTTATCTTATTTTCCACTCTGCCAGATTTTGGAACGTCATCCCCTTGCCGACCCATCTGCATTGCCTTGGCCTTCAGCTGCATTCCTCTTCCTGGGCGGCTGCTCCAGCTCTTGGTAAAGCAGCCTTGGCCGTGCTGTGTGTTTTTATCTGGTTGGGAAGGTATCCAAAGGCCTGGCCAGGAAGCAGACAGGAGAACATCATGAGCCACCGTGCTCCATTCTGCACCGCTCTGTGTTGGAGGATTAGCAACCGGCATCCTCTTCACATCCCTGGGAGCAACATCAGGCCCAGGCTATAAATACTGTGTCTTGTTTTTTGCTAAGTCATTTATCTGGAGCACTTGGAGTGCACGGGAAGTACTTGTTTGCCTGAGTGTGCTTTTCATCGGCTGATAGGAGAAAGCGGGCTGAGAGTGGGCATTGGCCTGCCATGATCCTGTTGGAGCGCTGCTGGGGTTTGGCTCCTGTGCTGCAGAGCTGTCTCCTGGGCTGGATTTCACCGTCCCCTTCGGTGCCACTGCCTGTTTGGGCTTCACCCGGTGGCACCACAGCTCCTGCATCCCCAAAAAGGTCCCACTGTTAGCCCAGAGGGCATGGCAGGTATTTTTGCTGTGGGAAGGGTCCTGATAGCCAGCTTTGCAGATGTACTTTGGTTCTCTCGAACTGCTGGAGAAACTGTGACTCACTTTCTGGGAATAAAAGGTGTCCTGAACACCACCAAACCGCAGCAGAGTCTATGCTGGATGCCATCGCTGGCAGTCCCTGTGCAGGGCGGGGGAGACTGGGATGGTGGGTCTCTGCCCTGCACTGTCCCCTATTGTGCTTCAGCTGCCAGGGCTTCTTTGCAGATGCAGCGTGTCCTTTCCACAGGTGGCTCGTCCCCGACAAGGTCCCATCCTCTGCGGGGGCCGGAGCAGCCCTGTGGCGTTAAACTTGGCTCTCAAGTTTAGTACCACACCCTCACTCAAGCCCTTGCATTGGGACAAGCAGGGACGGGGCTGCAGGGTTGGGGGCGCAGAGTTAGTGGGGGCAGAGGGGTGCGCGTAGCAGCAGGGTGGGCTTTTGGGGGTGTGGGTGCAGGGACGGACTGTGGGTGACAGCAGCATGAACCCCATGGGAGTGGGGCCGGCTCCCCCTGCGTCGTGCCTGGGGCCCTGTGAGGAGGCTGCGGGGCTGTGTGCTGGGGGCCGGGGCCAGGCGGGAGCGGGTGTCGGGGTGGCGCAGGGTGTCAGGGCGGTGCAGGGCGGTGTCGGGGCAGCACAGGGTGCTGGGGCAGAGGAGGGTGCTGGGGCAGAGGAGGGTGCTGGGGCAGAGGAGGGTGCCTGGGCGGAGCGTGGCTCAGGCCGGGCAGAGTCCAGCCGAGGTGCTGCGGCTGGAAGCAGTAAGGCAGCCCAGGACCTCTGCCGTGGGGTGCTGGGGCTTCCCTGGGGGGACCCCTGGGGCCGAGGGCTCTCTGCAAAGCTGGGGGCGGGGAGGATTTGCAGGATTTCCGCTACTGGGAAGTTTGGGGGGGCTTGTCTCTCCTAGACAGCGTGGGCTGGGAGTTTTGGGAAGGGGAGCGGGGTGGGCATCCCACTAGGCTGCAAGCCTGAGGGTCTCCCTGGGTACTGCTGGGGTGGGGGGGAGGTGCAAAAACTGCTCCTGTATTTGGGGGAAGAGGTGGGGTTTAGGGCCTTTGGGGGGGCCTGGCACAGCGTCCATTGCTGTGGTGTCAGGCACCAGCTCCACGTTCCTGCTGCAATGGCAACCCTCTGCGGAGAGCAGATCCACGGGGAAGTGCAGGTGAGGGGTGCGGGTGGGAGCTGTCGCAGAGATGGGGTGGCTGGGCGGGGGGGGGTGAGCCCAGGCTGTGCCGGCATGCCTGCTGCGGTCGGAGGACAAAGCTCGTTTCAGGCCCCAGATAAAAACGTTGGGTGTGCTTGGCTGCTTTGCTCCTGTTTCCCGCAGGGATGGGGGGGGGCTGAGCAGCCCCGTGTTTCCCTGCCCTCATTTCCCGTGCCCCTCTCAGTAGGGGAAATGGTGGCTGCAGCCTGGAAAGTTACTGCAGATGGGAATTAAATCCCCTGCTGCACAAACACATCTGTTCATGCAAGCAGCAGGAGCTGCGGAGGATGGGGACAAAAGGGTGCTTGAGGTTGGCCTAATTTTTAGCTGGGTCCAAATGAGAGCACCAGTGCAGGAGGACACCGGGGGTGTGTACAAGCTGAGTGTAGACATGGCCCCCATGTTTTGGTGCATGGGGAGCTGCCAGGGCACAGCTTGCCGTAGTTTGGTGGCCTCTGTCCTTCCCACCTCAGGATTACTACGGCAAAGAGCTGCAGAAGTCAGAGGACCTGAAAACCAGTGCGTGCGTCACCTCGGCCAGGACCCTTCCCAAGGCGGTGAGAGAGGCTTTGGAGCGCGTCCACGAAGAGGTGGTGGCCAGGCAAGTCCTGGGGTCTCCCCTCTGTTACTGTGTCCCTGTGAGCTGCAGCCCCCCTGGACTGCCATGCTGTGGGGACACCTCCACCCGGCTCAGCTCAGCATCCCCCCAGGTACTACGGCTGTGGTCTGGTGATCCCCGAGTGCCTGACGGCGTGCCGGATCCTGGACCTGGGCAGTGGCAGCGGCAGGGACTGCTACGTGCTGAGCCAGCTGGTTGGGGAGCGGGGCCACGTCACCGGGATAGACATGACTGAGGGCCAGGTACGGTGCAGAGCCAGAGCTTCCCCTCATCCCCCCAGCATCCCCCCACCATTGTTCCTTTCCTCTTCCCAGGTTGAGGTGGCAAAGAAGCACATTGCGTACCACATGGGCAAGTTTGGCTACCGAAAGCCGAACGTGGAGTTCCTCCAGGGCTACATAGAGAAGCTGGGTGATGCTGGGCTGGCTGATGAGAGCTACGATATCGTCATGTAGGTACTGCATAGGGCACTGCCACCCCTGGTCCTGCTGCTGACTGGGGCCAGGGGCTGGGGTCCAGGTCCACATCTCACTGCATAGCCTGCTTCAGGAGCACATGTTAGGAAAGGGAAAATCCCAAGGCAGAGTCTGGGCTAGAGCCTGGGAATACACAAACTGCCCTTTTCATAGTCAATTCAGTGTCTCCAAATCCTGCATGAAGCAATGGGACATGAAGCAGCCAGTGAATTAGCAGCAGCCAGTGGTGCTGCGCTTGTGCGAGGGGGCAAATGAGACTCAGACTCCTCCTCCCCAGCTCCAACTGCGTGATCAACCTCACCCCTGACAAGAGGACCGTGCTGCAGGAGGCCTTTCGTGTGCTGAAGGTAATGCTGGGGCTGGTACCTGCAGGGGAAGCAGAGCAGGGTTAGGGTGGCCTTGCTGTTGGCGTGCCACTGGATTGCAGCAAATGGGATCCAGTAAGGTGGGGATGTGGGATGGGTCCAGGGGAGGGCACCTCTGCAGAGGGTCCCAAGCAGGGTAGCATTGGGGGTGCCCAGTTCTCTCTGCCCCTTTTGTCCTGTTGCTTCCTGGGGTCTCACTTAATTCCTTTCTGCCTTCCAGCATGGGGGAGAGATGTACTTCAGTGACATCTATGCCAGCCAGCGCCTGAATGAGACTGTCCGGAAGCACAGGGTGCTGTGGGGTGAGCAGGGCTCTGGGATGGGGGTGACATGGAATGGGGGGACCAGACCTTTGCCTCCAGTCACCATGTCTGCGGTCTTGTGCCAGGGGAGTGTCTGGCGGGAGCCCTGTACTGGGGAGACCTCTACAGCATTGCTGAGGAGGTGGGGTTCAGTCCCCCATGCCTGGTCACCGCCAGCCCCATCACCATTGGCGACAAGGAGCTGGAGGGCATCATTGGTGAGGTTCTGACCAGGGAGTGTTGGCTCTGGGCAGCCGTGGGGAGCTGTGCTGGGATCCTGGGCTCTACCGGTTCCCAGCCTGGGTGCTCAGCGCCCAACCCACAAACCTCTCCCTTGCAGGCGACTGCCGCTTTGTCTCCGCAACTTTCCGCCTATTCAAGGTGCCAGGTAGCAGCCGGGCCGGGCCGGGTCAGGTCATCTACACTGGCGGGATCGTGGGGCATGAGCGAGAGCTGGTGTTTGACGCCAACTTCACCTTCAAGGTGCGGGGAGGCGTGCTGGAGCTCTTTAGGATGCCAAGCAGTCCTGGTCTGTAGGGGTGGGGTAAAACTGATGAAGCAGTGCTACTCATCAGTGTCCGCTGTGATTTTGGGAGTAAGCTTTGGTGGTGGGTTGGAGCAGAGGGGCTGTATAAACCGGGGAAGGTGCAAACAGGGATAGGAAAGGGAGTCAGACCCATGCATTGCACTGAGGTGAAGGTAGCAGCAGGATATCCGTGGTGGCTTCAAACCCTCCTTTGAAGCCAGGTGCTTGGTCTCTGTGGGTGTTTCTCAAGGTTTTGGGCCAGGCTGCTGGATCCCCTGCTTTTTCTTCCCTCATCATCTAGCTGGGTCGCTGGTGTCCCCTGGGCCACATACTTTGGACCCCAGCCCTGTAACTGTCCACTTGACCCCAGGAAGGAGAGGTGGTGGATGTGGATGCTGAGATGGCTGCAATTTTGCGGAGCTCCAGGTTTGCAGAGAAGTTCCTGATCCGAGCTGGTGGGGCCAACACTGCTGCTCCGCAGGGATGCTGTTGCAGGAGGGTAAAGGTTGGTAGCAGGCAGCTCCATGGCTGAGTTCAGGGACGGGGACATGGGTGTCCCCTGCCATCAGAGTTGCCCTGGGATCTCAGAGTCTCTATGGCATGACACCAAGAGACCTGAGCCCTTCTGGACCAGACAGGAGCCCATGGGGCACTGAGAGTGGTGCCTGGTGCTTGAGTTTGGGCAACTGCAACCCAGTGCAGGTTGGAGCCCTCCAAAGGGGGGGGTCTGCTCTAACCACCAGGCATAAGAGCCCCTTGCCCCCCACAACATGTCCATGGGGGCTGCCGAGGCTGACAGCTGGAGCTGCCTGAGATCTCCCAAGGGGAGACATCCTACCCCTGGGGAGATGGCTGGCAACAGCCTGCCCCAGGGTAGTGATGGCCCATCCCTGTGGCTCCTTCCTGCACTCCCAGCTGCTGATGTGAACTTGGCCCTGGCTGCCAACCCTGACCCTGCAGCACAAAGCACCTCTATCTTCTGGAAGCATCTCTCCTCCTCTCTTTGCTAGTCCTTTGCTAATGCCCTGCAGCTGTGTGTCCCTGAAACACAACCTTGTATGTGGGGAGGGGCAGATGTTCTTGGGTCTCTGTCCAAGCAGGAGGCATTTCGCAGATAAAAGCAGAGCCAAAGTCCTGGAGAAGCTCTTGGCTTCCTCCTCACGGCAGGGAAAAGCAGCTGGAATGACCCAGTGGCTGCCCCCATGTTAGCTATGGAGGGTCTGCTTGGGCTGCCCCACTGGCATGGAGTGGATTGCAGGGAAATGCTGCTTTCCTGGGATGCCTCCTGCTTCCCTCTGGTCTGATCCCGCCCTGGGTTGTTCTCTGCCCTCCAGGAGAAGATCTGCGATCCCTTCCAACTGCTGGAGTGGCCGGTGGCCCCGCGTCCTGCCTGCCAACCTGGTGGCACTTGTGGTCCCCCGGGGTGCTGCTGAACGGTGAGCGATGCCCCCACCCCGCTGGATGCCAGCAGGGCAGGAGGATGTGGCCCCAGCAGCATGCGGCTTCCACTGCAGAGCAAATAAATGGCTGAGCTCGAAGTCTGTATGCTCGCAGCTGGGAACACGGGGCCCGTTGGGGTGCTGTGCTTCCCTGTCAGGGCTGGTGGGGCAGGTCCTGCCTGGTTGCGGTGAGGATGAGCAATCGTCCTGTGGGTCCCCTCACTACAGGGTTGGCAGTGGCTGGATGGGCTTGGACACACAGGCAGGGATGGTCTCTGCAGGAAAGGGGTTGTGGGTCCTCATGTGTGGGACAGCAAGTCTGGCGTGGGTTTGGGAGCAGCTGTGTGCTGGTGTTGAGCCCACGGTGCAGAGTGGAGAGGCTTGCAGAAGGCAGTGTGGCAGAGCAGGGTGCGAAAGGAGGTCCCAGCGCCGGGCAGCACCTGACCCTGCAGCACGCACGCCTCTGCGTGAGCCTGTCTTCAATTTGGGATCTCGGGGAGCCCCCAGCTGAGACATAAATGCTTCTGAGAAGTGAAAAGCACAGCAATAAGCAGCCAGTTGTATTTTTTCCTCCGTTTGATCTCCCCCTGCTAACCCTCTGCATGCAGGGAGCCAGGCAGAGTCCATCCCAGCTCCCGGTGGTGGGGTGAGAAGCTCAATAACGTGGCTGCAAATGAGCATCTCCCCAGGGTTGTGGGCGAGGATTGGTCACCTCCTGAGGGTTTGGCTGGCCCTGCTTTTCCATGAGCGACTCAGCGTAGCACATGGGGTGCAGAGGGATGTCCCCCTTATTGACATTCAGGAAGGGGGATGCCCCAGGTGCAGCTCCCCACGCCTTGTTTCACTTGCAGTCCCACAGCCTGTTCCAGGAGATGGGAATTTCTCTCCCTTTCCAGGTGCAGCGCTGCTGCAGTTTCTACTTTCCCCTGGACTCCATCTAGCGAGAAAACCCTGAGGCCACTGCAAGCCTTGCACCTGCAGAGTTTTGTAGGGAAATGCAGTGATTCTGGAAAAGCAGAAACTCAGCTGACCACGTGCCCCAGTGGGCGAGGAGCAGGGAGAGAGGGCTTCGAGGCTGTGGTGGGAGGCAATGGGCCGTGCTCCTGCCACCCCCTGCGCACCCCGAATGCCCTCAGAGGCTCTTTGGGAAAGGCTGGGGGCTGAGCCCTTGAGTGAGCAGCTGAGCTTAGATATGAGGGGCCATTTCCACCCCTCCTCACACACTGATTTTCCAGGAGGGGCCAAATTTCCCTTCTCTGCCATTTAAACAGCATCTTGCTGTGGCATGGGGGAAGATAAAAAGCAAACAGTAAAATATTTGGGCTCAAAATGAAATGTGGACAGATGCTAAGGGTGCTCTGCAGTAACAGTAGCGGTGGCTGAGGAGAGTAAGGAGACATTTCTGGAGCAGTGGGGGAAATGAATGAATTAAAAGTGTGAGTGGTCAGATAAGGTCCAGCTGTGTTACAGTGATGGAAAATCCAGAAATAAGCATGTCAGCCCAAAATGCTTACCCTGCCCTCTGCCATCACTAAAACAGGGGAGCGATTAATCCACAATGTAGAGATTAAACATATAAATAATGCCCATAAGTATGGTGTCCTGTAAAGTCACCTGGCTTGCCTGGCCTTAGGGCTTTGGATGAGACTATGAGTCTGACTTATTTGCTGTACAAAAATTTGTAAGTTGTTGGGTTTAGAGATATACCATGATTGAAAAAAAATAATCATTGGTGTTATCTGGAGTCAACAGGGCATGTATGAGTTGGTGTCAGGTGGGGCTCCTTGGCGGACCAGCCTCAGGGGCAGCTGTGACCCGGAAGGCTAGAGGAGCTCTGAAATTGTGTGGAAGGACCTCACTGACAGGACCTTGGGAAGTACCTGCTGAAAGCACAACCCAGATGCTGCTTAATCCCCCCTGGCGTTCTTCCTTCCGTGATCACTGACAAAGACTTTCTCAAAGTCCCCAAACAGCCCATCCTGGGAGGTCTGCACCAATTAGATCCTGCTATCAAAGAGCCTTCCCAGCACGAACGGAAGAGCAGATGGGGCAGGGGTCCTACCTGCAAACCCCTTCATTAAAAAGGCATGAGTCCCTGCCGGCGGCCTTTCAGCTTGCCTGGGGAGAGAGGCACCCACAGCAAGGTCCCTGTTTCTCATGCATATGGAAAAAGGCCACGACTAAATGCCACTGCATTTGCATAGCAATACTTTTTTCCCAAATTCTCAGCATTTCTGGGAGGAAGCATCTAAGAGGACTTGACTTAGATTTTGAGCATTAGAGTAGGAGTCTTCACCAGGCTGAGGATGTGGGGGTGTCTTTTCTGCCTGGCTTTGCTTATGCATGCACAGCCTGAGGGTTTTTAGCCCCCCAAGCCATGAAAAGAGGAAGTCCTGCAGCCCCATCCCACATGAGGAACCCCAAAACAATCTATCCAATACCCCAGTCCGGGTGTTTTGCTGAATGTAGAGATGGGCCAAATTCCCTTCTCCCAATGTGAAGCTCTGCAGCATTGGTGTCCTCTGCAGGCAGGGAGGGTGCTGTGCGGGCAGAAGCTGTAAGTTGTGGTGCTCTGATTCACCCCCAGGTGAAGAGATTCCTAAGTCCCTCCTCACTGTGGTTAGTGGGGAGGCGCTGTGGCTCAGGGGCATCTGTCACCTCCCAGGAGGAGTGGAGCTGCAGGACTCCCCCAGGATGAGCTGAATGATGTTTGGGACCAGGTAAATTTCGTGGCTACAGCCCCCAGAGCACTGCGCTCTGCTCCCTGCCATGTTGGGTTGTCCTGCACAATCCCCTACTCTTCCATTTTCCAAGCACGTAAATGGAGGGGGAGGGTGTTTTGCCTCCTTTAAAGGATCACCCTGAACCCAAAACATGGTCTCAGCCAGCATGAGCCACACTGGATGCTCACACAGCGGTTCATTTCGGGCTGGCTGGGGGGGCTGAACTGCATCCTGCACTCATCGCTAAGGGAAAATTGCTCATTGTTACATTGCTCATCACTAAGGGAAAGTGGAGTGATGATGGTGGGGCTGTGGGGTGTTTCTGGCCCCAGCCGGGACTGCAGCAGCTGAGCCCTCGGAAACATCCCGGTTCTCGGGGCGGTGGGACAGAAGCACACGTTTAAATTATAGGTCTTTTCCTGAAGCGGGGCCCGTCAGCCCTTCATGCATCCACGCACTAAGGACCTGCTGAGCAGAGCAGAGTGCCCGGGGGGGCTTTGAACGTCCCCAGTGGGAGCTCCAAAGCCCCGGTCCCACTCACGCCAAGTCTCTGCACGGGGTTTGTCTAATTTGATGAGGCCGGAGGCGCCCTGGGTGGCTGAGCAAAAGGCAGAGATGAGAAACAGGACGGCGGCTCGTCCATATTTAATGTTTAATATTTAGTGTTTACTTTCACTCGCGGGAGCGACAAAGCCGAGAAAACGCCGGGGCGCGGGGCAGGAGGTGCCGGGGGGGGGACCAGAGCGCGACCGCCGCACCTTGAACCGTTGCACTGTGCTGCACCGGCGGCGGCTCGGGGCGGGGCGGTGCGGGGAGAGGGCGACCGGGGACGGGGCCCCGAGCCCGGGGCAGCTGCCGGGGGACGGGCGCGGGGCTGAGGGCGAGGGGATGCTCCGAACGCGACCGCCAGGGGGCGCTGCGCGACCGCCGACCGATGCGGCGGCGGGGCGGGCGGGCGGGCGGGGGGAGCGGAGGACCGGGGAAGAGGCGGGTATGGACACGGACGCGGGGCGGCGCAATGGGGGCGGCGGGCGCCGCGCCGCGGTGGGTCGGTGGGCAGCGGCAGCGGGCCGGGCAGGGGCGGCGGGGGGGGGGTCCCCGTCCCGTCCCGGTCGCCCCCGTCCCCCAGCGCGGCGGCTCGTGACCCGCCCCGTCGGGCGCCCCGCACGCGCCGTCCCCGGCCCGCCGGCCGCCCCGCGCCCCCCAATTGGTCGCGCCCCTCCCAGGCTCCGCCCCGCCGGCCCCGAGCGCCGTCGCTATTGGCCGCGGCCGCGCGGGCGGCCCCGCCCCGGCCGGCCGGGCGTACACACCGAAGTCACGCGCCCCCGGGGCTGGGGAGGCGGGCGGCGGGCGGCGGGGCGGGGCCGAGCCGCCGCGGGCGGGGGGGCCGGACGCTGATTGGCGGCGCGCGGCCCCGGGCCCGCCCCGGCGAGGCTGGGCGGGGCGGGGCGGGGAGGGCAGCGGCTTGAGGCGGCGCTCGGCTCGGCCCGGCCCGGCAGTCGCCGCCTGTCGGGTCCCGCGGGCAGCCGGTGCCCGCCGCCTCGCCCGCCGCCTCCGCCGCGCCCGCCGCTACCGCCGGGGGAGCCGGGGCACGCCGCAGGCGCCGCGCGGCGATGCGGGGCCGCGGCGGCGCCGAGCCCTGACTAAAGATGGCCGCGCTGCCCGGTGGGAACATGGCGGGGGGCGGCCGGGGGGCGCGGGTGGTGTTGCTGCTGCTGTTGCTGCTCGGCGGCTGCCTGGGCCGCCGGCCCCCGGCCGCCGCCGCCGCCGCGCCGCCCGCCGCCGCCGTCGTCCCCCCCTCGGCGGCGGCGGCGGCGGCGGCGGAGGAGACGGTGATCATCGGCCTGCGGCTGGAGGACACGGACGACGTCTCCTTCATGGAGGGGGGAGCGCTGCGGGTGAGCGAGCGGACGCGGGTGAAGCTGCGGGTCTACGGGCAGAACATCAACAACGAGACCTGGTCGCGCATCGCCTTCACGGAGCACGAGCGGCGGCGGGGCGGGCGGGCGGCGGCGGGGCCGGCGGGGCGCGGCGGCGGCGGCGGCGGCGGCGGCGGGGCGGCGGGCGGCGGCAGCGCCCCGCAGCGCTGCGGCATCCGCACCTCGGACATCATCATCCTGCCGCACATCGTGCTCAACCGCCGCACCTCGGGCATCATCGAGATCGAGATCAAGCCCCTGCGCAAGACCGAGAAGAGCAAGTCCTACTACCTGTGCACCTCTGTCTCGGCCCCTGCCGCCGCCGCCCTGGGGCCCGGGGCCGCCGGCGGGC